GTAGCAGTAGAAAGGCTGCAGAAAGAGTCAGGAGCCCAGAGGAGGGGGCAAAGGAGGTGAGGGGGTGGGGGCAGAAAGTGGAAATGAAAGCAGACAACAGAACATTGTCAGAGATCAGGAAAGGATGTGAAAGGAGACAATTTTAGAGAAGAAAATTTTTTGGTCGCTACCCGGAATCGAACCCGGGACCTTTGAATGAGAGGCCAACACCTTAACCTCTAGGCCACGAGAGCCCCCTTAAAATGTGTCTAGTCTAATGGTAAAATCTGTGTCGCATCCGACACAGAATGGCTTCTCATCTCCCTGAAGGAGGTAATTCTGTGTTAGGGTCGTGTGTCCAATGCGTAATCGAGTAAAAATGACTTTTTTTCTCTCCTTTTGTTCTGAAATTGTGTAGGAGCACCGACATGTCAGTTGGCATTGAGTTGGTACATGTACAATATAACAGTTCAGGTGGCCCAGGTTTGAATAAAAAAAAAAAAAGAAAAGTGTTTTTTCCTCTCCTGAAAAAAATTTTGCTTTCCAGGCTAGAACAATTGAACAACTTGCTGACAACATGTTTCAAGTAGGACGACAAAAACTAAGATTATACTTGAATTTTCTAGTTTGGTTTTAGTAAGAGTTTTATGGTAATTGCAACGCAATAAGGTCATATAAGTGCTGAAGATTAGAGGTGTTACAAGAGAATAACACAAAAAAGATGGAGAGATTAGGACGATAGATGTTAGATACGAAAGAGCAAACCACATCACAACACCCACCAACCAACCACCCACATACTTGGATAAGAATGATGAAGTTTTACAATGTAACCAACTACAACAGTCACCTAATTCATATAGTTGATTGAATACAAGAAACCATTGGCTCTAAGTCTCTAAAGGTAATTACATGTAAATTCGAGACCTCACCCCCTTCAGGCCTTTGGTAGCTTTATCATCACTCCGTTTCAAAACACATTGACAGGAAGAGAGATGTAAGCCCCTTGAAAGAGGGCAAACTTTTAAGACCTTGTAGTCCCCATGAGTCACAGGAGAGACCACTGTGTGATCATTGTAAGGCCTGGGTGTATGGAAACTTTCTGAAAGCTTCATCAAAAGTATTCAAACTTTCTGCAGACTAAATCCGTCTGTACCACCCTAAGCTCTACCGCAAACATACCCAAACAACACCCAGATGCATTCAGAAGGATAAGAAAAGTGAACACACATCTTTGTAAACACTGACATTTGAATTAAAGGGAAAATAACAAATTCTGCCAAATATTTTGCAAAAGTAAGTGTTTATTATATTAGCACAATAAATAATATTTGCCATCAGAGACCTTTCATTAAAATACACTCCCACATTTGCATTGTTAACAATCAACAGCTTTCAAGTCAATTCTCCTTGTTACTTAACATGACCCTAAGGTCTGAGCACAGCCAGCACAAGCAAATAATACACATATAAAAGAAACATGCAATCCTCAGAAAAGCTAATCCATGATTATCATACCTTGTGATTTAAGGAAGCAAGCTTGCCTAAATATGATAAGTCAGCAAAAAATACTCAGCCAGTTTGACAGTTCAAAAAAGCCAGAACTCTAGCAACTTTTAAAGCCAAAAATGAACTTTTTGCTCAAGCATATAACAAGCACGCAAACATGTATGTTATACGCACACTAGAACACATCTGTAGCCCTGCCAAAAAAAGCTTTTTGCCACTCACCTATACACAACCTTCCCCTCTAAACCATCAATTCGAAAACATCTATGGATCATGTTCAATAAAATGTTCCTGGCAAATTTTACTGTGACAGAATTTTCAAAAATAAATATTGTTTGCGTCATAAAAAAATAATGGCAGGCATATCCTTTTCACAACCATAAAAAAAATCAGCTCTTAAGGTCACCACTTATATGTTTGAACTGAGTAGTGAAAAAGGCTTGTTGCACATGGGAGATAAAAATTTGAAAATAAATTATTGTCTGCACAATTTTCAATATTTCACCAAGGTTATACAATTTTCCCTACATTGGCCCACCAATTACTGTCACCTTTACGCAATGAGATAATCATTTTAAAATGAGAGGACACAAGTTTAAGAGTTTCCTAGATGAAGAGTGTACCAACAAATCCAACAACAGGACAAGTATCCACAACGTCAACTTTTGTTATAGTAAGCATTATACAGCACTTGCTACACAATTAAGTCATACAAGTGCTAAAGATTAGAGGTGTTACAAGAGAGTAACAAACAAAAAAAAGAAGAAGAGACGATAGATGTTTGATAGGAAAGAAAGATCAACCACACCAGAGCACCCTTCAACCACCACAACATCAACACGGCCGTTGTCAGACGAAAGATCTTTCTTTTACACATGGCTCACTGAATGATCAGTCGACATTTATGCATTCACAAATACGGAATTTGAAAACATACATAAACAAGTAAATTAACCCCAAAACATGCAGAAATCTTTCAACAATATATTCTCTGCTGTTTGGTCGCTGGTACATGAAAAATGGGTATTCAATTTAATAATGCTGTAAGAGGTGACCAAGGTAAAGCTCTGGATATCCAGAGAGCTCTACAGACAGACAACTGGGCTACACGATGGTCCCATATAATTAATTTGTAGTTTACAGAGAGTCTGCACAATAATGGCCCCGTTTTGCCGGAAAGCAGGTCAAGGTAATAATAGAAACAAAATAAAAAAAGAAGTAGTAGGAGCAGAGGACACCTGGGTCCACATCGACCATCAATATGATCTGACAGACCCAAACAGGTACAATCACAGGCAGTTAAGTGGAACAATAATTATGAGTTAGTGAAGCAGTAATTTTATTTATATTTTTTTTCTTCAGTTTTAGTGAAAGTTTTATGGCACTTGCAATACAAATAGGTTATGTAAGTGCCGAAAGTTAGAGGTGGTAGTAGAGAGTAACATAAACAGAAAAGAAATAGTGAGAACGACAACAGATGTTTGATGTTTGACAGGAAAGAAATAGCAAGCCACAGTTTGATGCGATGAAGTAAGATAACAGTCACATTTCTCTAGGAACTGATACAGATGATGATAGGAGCACAGGAAAAAGTAGAACAGGCAGACTCTACAAGAAGGCACTAACTTCAACACACAAGTGTACCACCACCATCACAGACAACAGGAACAGCATTTAACTTAAATGGAACTCAGTATACCTTACATCAATTGTTCGAAGAAAACACTAAAAAGTGCAGTAACAACCACCTCTAATGCCTATACTGTCACTTTTCTCCATCAACATTATCTAATAATACTAGGGAAATCACAGTGATTAAACTGACACCTTTCAATTGTCTCCTCCTTCTAAAGAGAAGCATCCTTTTACCGGGCTGCTGGATAAACTTGAATTAACACCAAATTTTTTTTAAGGTGTTCATAAGTAGCCAGATAAACAAGGGTCAGAAAATGTAATGCACGGTGCACCTTAAAAATTACTAACTGCTTGTAATAAACATTCATGGTACATGTGCCCACACTCCCCCCCTCCCCCCAAGAGAGGCAAAGGCATTAAAAAAAATTAGATTTATCAGAGGATATTTTGGTGCCCCCCCCCCCCCCCCCGAAAAAAAGAGAACCTCTTTAGCTGATGGACAATAAAAAAAAAATGATATACCTATTATCTTCTTACTGATATATACACAGGGCTGTACTTTTAACTGCAAACCCTTCAAGAGTGGGGAAAAACAAACACACTTTTACCTTGAATGATGATCCTTACTTCCTGACGGGAATTAAATTGGAATGACTTTTGATATTACAAACACCACAATGTGCCCATGCCATCAGGGCTTTCTGCAAACTCTTAATCAAGATATACCAGTAGACTAGAACAACAAAATGATTTGAGTGAATTATGAGCTGTTTAAAGGAAGAGCGTGATTTTGAAAGTAAGTGTTTTCAAATAAACATTACATTTTGTGTACATGGAATCTGAAATCTCACACTAGACTTAAACTGTACAGACCAGCCCCAACCCCCTACTATATAAACAAATCTTTTACATTTCACTACACACATTATAAATCACATGTCTACCATCTTTGCGAGCCCAAAGGAGAACGCTACTGAAAAATCGCATTTAAACTTTTTTCTCACACTTGAGTCTTGAATATCTCAACAAATTGTTCGTAGCCGTCGCTTGGGGCTTATAAGACAGATCAGAAACATTCTAGGAGTCTTTATGAAAGAGAATAGAAAAACAACAAGGACGTATTGTGACCTTGCAACTATGGGGTCATATTACGTTGTACTACTTCAATTTTGGAAAAGTTGATTATACAGACGCCAGATTGAATCATTTTTTAAATACACATGGCTTCATTTACACCCTTTCAAACATCATCCAAAACACAGGTAGACAAACCTTCCTTTCGAAACATGGGGAAAAACATACCTCAACAGGTACCCTGGTGTAGCATGCTTAACTCTTGTTTCATGTAAGACTAGATATGAAACCCTGTAAATGCAAAAATCACAAAATGTTGATATGTTGATTTTGTGATCACTACTTCATGGTAAGCATGAAATGAAATCGAACCAGCCTACCTTGCTTGACGCCATAGTACTGAAATAATTTGTCCGAAATAATGTTACCATGACAGTAAAATGATTATCATACATGTTGGTATCTATTCACAAAAATAATTAAACAAAAAACATCACATAGGTAAACCAATGTCACATGATGCCATTATACCCTCAGAAGCAATAATCACTTTTCTCTTCCCTCAACAAACAATCGGTATTCATTTCAATGAAAATAAAGCTTTCTCAAAGGAAAATATGAATTTGTTCTCTTGAATAAAAGTTGTTAAAAATTAAGTGATTGCACACAAATGTTATTCAGTCTTTTCCCCACTCGCTTTATCATTCACTTTAAGTTAAAAATACTCACATGTCAGTTAGCTTGATAATTTTCCTTTCCATCAATAACCATGGCACTACAAGAATTTTTTTTTCCATTCAACATTTTGGCATACTATTTTCTAACGCAGACTCCGCAATAAGTACATCATTCAAATCAACACAAAATACTTAACCCTACTTTTTTAGAGGGTGGGCCACCCTCATTTGAGCATTATAGTTTTACAGCACGGTGGCAATTCAGAGATCTTCTGAAAAACAACAGAAGGGCACAGGGAAGGGTGGGGGGTGGAAGGAGGAGTGGAGGCAAGTGAATCGCTGAGCTTTTAAAACACATCCTGTAACACTGTACTGTAAGTAGAGAGGTGAAGGGCGGGTCCCAGGGTCATGTCAGCAGCTGCAGCGTCTCCTCTTTGGTACTGTACAGCAAGATAAAATTGCACCTGTAGAGGAGCAGGGAGGAAACAGTTTGTACATATTGATCAGTTTAGTTTTAGAGATAGTTTTACAGCATTTGCTACACAAATAGGTCAGTTTTAGTTTTAGTAAGAGTTTACGGCACTTGCAACACAATAAAGTCAGTTTTAGTTTTATTAAAAGTTTTACAGCACTAGCAACACAATAAGGTCATATAAGTGCCTAGGAATAGAGGTGTTACAAGAGAGTTTTTGTTGTTGTTGTTGTTGTTATCGATCCAGCAACACCTGGGCTCTCGCCTTCTGTCCAATGCTATGTAGTGATAAATGCAGGTTTGCTGCAGTTGCAGTAATGTTCCGTAGAGTGTGTTGTCGAAGTTAGGTCTCGGAGGGAGAAGGGTAGCTCTGATGTCATTTAGGGCTGTACAGTGGAAAAGGTGATGTTCCATTGTCTCATATGCATAGTCACACAAAGGAAACATTGGGGGAAGTTCTGGTTTTATTCTGTTCAAGTGAAAGTTGAGCTGTATATGTTCTGTTCTTAGGCGGAAGATCGTGGTCTGTTTCTTTCTCTGTAGGTAGTTGATATTGTCATTTCGTTTTGTTGTAGTCATATGTTTGAAAACTGCTGTGCCTGTCTTTCCCAAGGCCCATCTGTTCATCCAATCTTGTTTGCTGTTGCTTTTAATGATTTGTTTTGCAGTGTTGTATGAAGTTGGAATGTTGGGTTGCTCCTGTCTAGATCCCTTTTTGGCGAGTGTGTCTGCTCTGTCATTTCCAGGTATGTTTGAGTGTCCGGGAATCCACTGCATCTCCAGGTTGACGCCACAGAATGTTATCAGACGATGGGAGCCAAACAGTATATGTGTCAAAGTCTTCGTTTAGATGGTGATCATTTTCTATTGCTTGCAAGACTGATAGTGAGTCAGTGAAGATCACTATACTCTGTGTTTTGTTTGGATGAGTGTCAAAAACTGTGCGGAGATGGTATAGTGCTGTTTCAATTGCTATCATTTCTGCGTCGTAGTTGTTGCATTTCTCTCCACAGGCTGCACAGATCTCATTGGA